GCGGCGGCGAGCTGCCAGATCGAACCCGAGCGCATCGCGTCTGGCGGCGCCCCGCAAAGTATACGTTTATTGTAATAAAATATTATCACTATTATTATCGTTATATTATATATACAGAGTGTGCGCGGGGAGATACGAGCGCGAAAAACATAATAAGCCGTGTGCGTGCGAGTGTGCTAAATATAATATAATATGTGCTGCAGTGTGTGGCGCGGAGATGACGGGGCGGATTCGCCGCGGGACGCGAAAGACATAATACGATATAGGTGTATATACATAGACGTTTTCAGAAAGAACAAAAATCTCACATTATACTACCTCCGACCGAGCGTCGAACGGATCCGCCGTTCGGACTGTGCCGCATTGAAACGTGTACACCGTAAGACGTCAATGGGTTATTTCACTTGTATCGCTATTTACGATATGCGTGTGTATAATGCGCATATACGAACATAATACAATATATATATATATTATAAATTATGTAGAAAAAAAGAGTCAAACCTAAACGAGTGTGGCTCTTTAGACGGGTCGGAAAAAAACACAAAACCCTGTTAAACAGGGTCCCGGAATGCACGTACGACGTGTGATCGCCTGATGCAGTTGATCGTTACGACGATGATAAACATATTATACGCATGCCTGCGATAATAATACAAAATAATATTTTATTTTATTTTGTTACCGGGCGGCCGAATACTCGTAAATTGCGCCTTATTCACCACCGCCAATCGCTGGACAGGGTTTTGGTGTCAGTGAGTGCGACGAGGGTCGGGGCCGGTACTGCGACGCGTTGGGATGGGCGGTTGGTAATAATAATAATAATAATAAAATAATTATATATGTCTTATATTATTACTATATGGGCACGTCGAGATTTTACGCGGTATATATAGGGATTGAAAAGAAGATAGGTATTATAAACATACCTATATAATATGTTATGATTTTGTGTTCATGACTATACCTATAATATGCGCAAATAGCCGAATTTTGTTGGTCTCCCTCCTCCCAAAATATTTTCTATAGGTAATAATATGCTATATTTTGAGTTGCGGGGGGGAGGACTTAGCTATAGAGGGACTTTTTCCCCCAAGCCTCCCTTCTATTTGCGTTAGTGGAAATTAGACTTATTTTTCGTGTGCGGCCAGTCCAAATCACCCAACAATATTATACACTACCTACTCACAACACACCTCGGCGGCAACCACATTTTGTTTTATAATGATGTATGCGTGTGTGCGTGTGGATAGCACACGGCGGCCACGCCGAGATTTTACTGCGCGATAACACCGCCGTATTTTTGCCATTCCTCAGAACAAAGGATTTCTTTTTTTTTCAATATTGTTTTTAGCAAACCGTTCACGACGAATTATTGAAATCTCTCTAAATACTTACACAGCTACACATAACGCAATGTGGAAAAAAGTATACACTTATCTCATTGTCGTTGCAAACGAGTTTTTTTGGCGCCGGACGTAACACAATAATATATTAAATCATGGTATACAAGGTGATCCGTTTAAATGTCTACACTTATTGTTTGGATAATGACTAATTTTTTTGAGAAATGTATATTTTTTACAAGTTCTTATCGTTATTATTTTTATTTTAAGTACTTATAACTATAATTAACTAATCGTTTGGAATTCGAGGGTTAGGCACCGAAATACTCCAAAAATATCCTGTTTGGGAGTATGAAGTTATAACTACTTACATATTATCCTTAAAAAAGTAAAAACATATAAAATTATAAAAAACATTATTTTTTTCAAAAACGCTGCTCTGAAATGACGTCAAATTATCCAGAAATAGTATTTTCAAAAAAGTTATAGTACTTTTCGAAATGATAAGTGTGAATATATTTTAAACAGACCACCTTGT